TATATATATATATATATATATATATATATATATATATATATATATATATATATATTCTGGTTTCATCAATACTTGGAATAGTTATTCCATTGTAGACACTGATACAAAAACCTTTAGTTATAACAAAGCATGTGAAATTGATAATCCTTCACATTTAACTTTCCTTTGCTGATCAGCTATGAATATAGGATGAGCAAGATCTGGTCTTTTGAAATGTATTGAATTTAAGTTCTAGCAACCTCAAAAACTTGGCATATAGTATGAGGGCCTTGTTGGTGAGCTACATTTGAAGTGTCATGCTTTGCCCATTGGAGTAGTAATATGTAGATTACTACATTCACTGCCTATGAATCTGCTCCTGGGTGGTTTTGTCTGTAACATTCTTTAGGATATGACACCTGTTCCAACCCCAATTGGTCCAACTTCATCTACATCATCTAGAAAAAACCCTACTCCTCCACATTGGGAACTAAAGAGAGTTGAAACAAGGAGGTGCTGCTTTTCAGTAGTTGCAGTAATCTTCTAAAGCAGTTTCCTTGTAAATATCAGGTAGGTGCTATCCCAGAGTCCCTTCTTTTAAGATAATGATGTTCCAGAGAACTTTTTAACCAATTTGGAATCATACTTTTCTTCTTTTTAAAATTTTTGCTTAATGTTCATTTTAAATTTAGTAGCAGGATACAAATATAATACAAATAAAATAGAATATAAATCTGAAACTGGTCAAATGATTTAAGGCTGCTCTGAGTCTTAACAGCTGAATATTTAGGAATATATAAAATTGGTTAAATGTCATTGAATGAGGGCTGTGCTCATATATATGATTTATATATTTAAGAGACATATGCTGATTTTTAGGAAAAAGTAGGGAAAACAAAACCAATAATTGATTTCATTGACTGAGTACGAAGTGATGTCATGGAGTGGCAAGGGATGCCATCCGTAAACCAACTGTGATATTCATCTTTCTCATTCTTGAGGCAGAGAAATATACTATTTTGAAAGGTGCCCGTATCTTTTATGAGGTAAAAAAAATCACCACAAAAAATAGATTTGCAGCATAAATACAATCACCTGTATTTTATTTCATATTTATTTTGAGAACAGAGACATGGCTCAATATATTCTGGGCAATTAGAAGGGAAGATTCACTTTTTTATTAGAACTAATTTTAAGGCCTTAATTTGCTACACATTTCTCACATTATTACATTTTAATTCAGCAGAGAAATAACTTGCTCAGCTCATTAATCTTGAAATAAACATATTTTCTCCTACCACTTCATATAAAAATAACTTAAATCTTACTATGTCAGAGATCTTATTAATATCCTTTCTTTAGAAGGACAAGATTGAAGTTTGTTATTTTCTTGCTAATAGTAAGGGCAGCTTCATATAGAATAATTTTTATAGAGAGATTACTTTTTTAAAGGAAAGCTTTAAGTACATACGCAAGTGGCAGTGTGCACACACAAGCTTTCCACTCATGCACACAACAATATAATGTGTAATTTTCCTACACAGAATAGGAATCTGTCAGGAAAAAGTCTACATAAAAAATATCCCATAATTCACAATACATAAATTTAAACCATTCTACACATTGCAAAATAAAAATAGCAGTAATCTATGTGGGGGTTATTTTATATGCTTTCTCTAATCACATAGGAAGTGCTAATTTATTGTGATTAAAGGCACCAGGCTAGAGACCAGGAGACTGTGAGTTCTAATCCTGCCTTTGGCATGAAAGCAACCCTCAGCCCTAGGCAGAAGGCAAAGGGAAATCATTCCTGAAAAATGTTGCCAAAGACTTCTCCATCGAATCACCAGGAGTCCAGACTAACTTGAAGGCACCAAAAAAATAAAAAAGAATCCCACAAAAGTTTTGAAGTTTTCTCCAGATTTGCTATAGTTGAGATGGAACGATTGTAAAACAGAACCATTTGTTAATAAATATAATACTGTCTACAGGCCCAGGTATTCCACCTCACCAAATTTGCTTTGTAGGACTTGGGAGAGCACTTAACTGTATGTCTTATTGTATTCCTTATTTACATGCAGGGGAGTAGAAAGGACCAAGCAGTTGTACAAACCCACCCCTGCTCATCTACTGTTACATTATGAATTTGATTACTGTTGTTTCTATATTGTGTAGAATGGCTCAGTTTTTAGGAATCTTTCTGAAATTAGCCCTCACTAGTATGGTCTTTATTTCACAGAAGGGAACAGTTTTGGCACTGATTTTTTTTAAGGTTTACAAATACAAAAGTTAAGAATTATAATCAGTTTAATAAATTTTCTCTTCATTTCCACCATTCTAGCCAAGGTCATTAAGACCTTATTACAGCACGTAAAGTATTGCTCCAAATTTACTTTTTGATGTACTGCTAACTAAAATTTAACTGGTTTGTTCCTCCTGAAAAACCAAGGGAACAAAGGCATCAACTTTAAGATATTATTGCTGGTGAACTTAAAAGTTTTCTTCATCTAAAAGAAATAACACGCACGTATTACCGTATGCTTTTACAATCCTGGGCATTTACATTTTATATTAATATTTCCATTGTTATGCACACAGACATCAATATTTTGGATTAAGCTGGCTGTTTTGATAATTTTATATGGCAAATTCTGCAGTGAAAGTATGAAAAAAACTCATTTGGAAAAATTGAGTACTTTGGGAGGAAGGATAATTTATTAATTTTATGAACCTGAAATAAACAAACCTAGTGGCCAGTTGTGAAACGTCCACATAAATTATTGGCCATAGGGATGGAATTATGCCTCATTAAGAGTAGAATGCAACATGGCATATGTTTATACCAATAGGCACCTGCTTCTAAATTTTGTAATCCATTTTATAATATCAAGATTTGAGAGATCAAAAATTACTTACATAACATATTACACATGAAATAAATATACCTTATGACAGCTTGCTGCCTCATCTATATGTATGGTTATTTCTTAAACTAAGAAACCCCAAAAATAAGATGCTAGGTTTCAATAGAACATTGATCTCATTCATTATGGCAACTTTATAATAGCACCACTGTGGGATAGGATTAGCAGACCATATCAAAATGCATAGACTTAATGATCCCGGTAAATTATGCAGTCAATACTGTACTGGTATTTATTTAAGGTTACAAAGCAAATGAAAAATCATTTTTAGTGTTCTCTAAAATTTCTTCAATGGGATCCATAGCTTATCTGGTTAAAGATTTTTCACCTCATAATAACTCAAGAGTTTACAAATTAAAATTTGTGCAACTATTATTTCTTGAATGAATAACAGTAAGCAACCATCATAAGGCTTTCAGATTGATTCCATGGTCTGGAGTCTTTTCCTTAAGTTACACAATACTTACCAATCTGTTTGGCCTCCATAGATTTGTAAGACCATTGACATAAGTGTTATTTCCTGCTCTTTCTAAATGTTTTGTATTCATATCAAGTTTCTTTACAGGTTACTGGTCCATTGATTCTCTATTGGCTAAGGAAAAAAGGAATGTCTGACATTTACTATCTTAGTAATTTTTGCACTGCTTTATCACAGTGTCATGTAGTAATACTTTTTTTAGTGACTAATTGGCAATCCTTTGTGGCTCCTATTGCAAATATTCAACAAATGCAAAGAACATCTAGAAACATTGCAATAATATGAGCCTCAGTTACCCAGTATATGTTTACAGTTAAGATTTAGATTCATTTGCCCAGAATTTCTAGATACTAGTTTAGTAGAAAATCTGGTTCTTGATAGCCAAAAAGGTTAAAATCTCCTTCAAAGCGGGCATAAAGGCGCTTTATGTCTCTCTTGCTTACGCCTGAAAAATAGTGTTCCACTTTTGTTTTGTTATATATCGTTATACCTGGAGGAATTGTAGGATAAGATACCAGATGATCAATTCCTGCTTCCTTTAAGATGTATGGTGCATCTTCCTCCAAAGTTTCATGATGTCCAATTACGCTGTATGTTATTTCACAGGGGGCACATAATTCAACATAGGTTATCCAATGAATTATATGATCTCCAAATTGTATATCTAACCATCGATGATTTGGATCACCTAGGTAGCGCACGAAGTCCTCAAACTGCAGTCCTTTAGTCTCTGTGCGATTTTTTCTATATTTTCGAATAATTCCAGGAGCAATTTCATGTCTATACCAAGGTTCAAATCTAGGATTGTGGACAAATTTATCCTTAAATGCAGAAATAAGCCTTTCAAAAGGATCTCTTACGATGAAAAATTTGAAATACAGTTTCAATCTAAATGGAAAACATAAGCAAAAATAATTGTGGATGTATTTTAGTATTTTAAAATTTACTAAAAATTCAGTTTACAACAGTGCTGATTTGCCATATTAATGACTATAGTAGCAAATGATGTGCCGTGACCCGTCAAAAGCGCGGACGACAAAAGCGCGATCGACAAAATCGCGCCTTTGACGTCATCANGCTGGCTGGAGAATTCTGGGAGTTGAAGTCCACAAGTCTTAAAGTTGCCAAGTTTGGGAACCACTGTGTTATAGAGAAAGATCTCAGAGTACCTAGTTCGGTAATAATTCAGTTCTAGATGGCATTATATCTTCTGTTTTTTTACTTTTGGGATTTGGGGATCTAAATTCTGTGCTTTCACACATTGTTCTTATTTCTACTTTGGACCCTTGAGATTGCTACTGTTATAATCCACATGCCATAAACTTGCAATTGGCATTTCAGAACATTCTAGGCAAAAATGTTGCCATTATGATTGGGTCTGATATTGTCAAGTGGTATTCTAATGAGTTCCAATTCTTAAATGGGTATTCTAGTTTTTTTTCTTTTGAAGAAAGAACAGATAAAATTAATGAAATAATCCTAATTCTTTTAGGTTCAGCTTGTGCCTCCTTTAGGAAATATGTATCTTTAAATGTTGCTGCTACCTCATATCTAGGAAAACAATACTTGGGCAAAATTGGAGATAATTGTTCTTTAAAGTTCCCATCAGCATTTGCATATCTTCAGATTTCTCTCTCTTTTCTCATGTTTAGTGGACTTCCTATCAATACCTTTCTCTTTTCCATTTCTGCAGTAATCCTCTTAATAGGGAACCTTACCCATAGCTTCTTTCACTTCAACATTCCCCTTTTTTTTCTTACCTTCCATTAGCATAATTCTGGAAACTTCTGTTGCATTCCATAGCACTCTTTTTATTGTGTTTCCAACAGTTTCCACATCATCTTCTTTTGGAGATTCTTTTTTTTTTCTTCGTTCATTCTCTTGGCAACAGTTTGTACTTTTTCACACAAGACATACTTTCTCTTCTTGTAGTTTACTTTTTTCACTTTTCCTTTTTCCCAAAGTTCTACTTTTGACACTACTTAGTCTTTCTCACATTCCGAACTTACTCATCCTTGAATTGATCAGTGCTTTCTAACAGAACAAGCTTTTAGATTTATGCTAATTTCATTAAATAAATGGACATGCTTAAAGTTCATATTTGAAACAGACAAACGTGATATTGTACAAAGTAATTATTCATTCTTCAGTGTCTAAATCAGGGGTGTCAAACTGGCAGTGTCACGTCATGTGACTTATTAGGACTTTCCCCCCCTTTGCTAAACCGGNCGGTTTACAGAGAGTCAGCATATTGCCCCCAACAATCTGGGTCCTCATTTTACCCACCTCGGAAGGATGGAAGGCTGAGTCAACCCTGAGCTGGTGAGATTTGAACCGCTGAACTGCTGATCTAGCAGTAGCCTGCAGTGCTGCATTTAACCACTGCGCCACCTTGGCTCTTATGAGTGTGACGAACCATGAGTGTGACGAACAGTTGTAAATCGCTTTGTTTATCATTACCATAACTTTGAATGGTTGCTGAAAAAAGACTATTGTAATTGGTTCCTAGACCTATAAAAACTGCTAGCTTCTCCATTTTAAGTAAAAGATCTACCTCCTTGCTGGATTATAGAAAGGCTCTTAGAAAGAAAATTGAGAAGTTTGTGTCTATCATGCAGGTATCCAATGCTACTAAATGCAGAATGTTGAAATTCTTACAACACTATCCTTTTCTTCTCAATCTTGTTAAGCTCCTTGAGAATATTATTTGGAAAGAATCAAGGCACTGCTAGTTAGGCAATTGTCAAAGAACCTGATAGCAATCTGTCAATAGGATTTACTCAGTGTTGTATGTCTTGCAAATCTGTTCCAAGAAGTGCACAATCAACTTCTGTCCCTGAACAGAAATCTGTTCACTTAATGTGGAATGCACCTGCTAAAATAGCTGACTATTTTAAAAAAGCAAAAAATAAAGATAGAGATTAAATTAAGTCAAATTATACAAAGAGTCCTTAAAAGTCTATTTAAAGAGATGACAATGTCAACATGTTTTTTTCTTCTTCGCCTGCTCCTAGGACTATACAGGTAATCCTTGCTTAGTGACTCCCTCATTTAGCAACTTTTTACAATTATGACAGTGATGAAGAAGTAACTTTATAATCAATCCTGACATTTATGATCTTACTAGTCCCAAATGTAGCAACTAAACAAAGATTTGCCGCACTCAAATTATTTTTTCATAGTTATATCTTATTTTTAAAGATGCAAATGCTATCAAGGCCACATGAATGCCATTTATTATCAAGATTAAGAATTATTTTTTAAAAATGACATAATAACTATAACCATCACAGTTTTCACAGAACTATTGCTTGTAAAGGTCTCTGTTTTTGTATGTAGGCAGTCAACTCCGTCCTTGCTTCCACATGATTTCTTAGAAATCCCAAAGCAGTACTTTATAGCTATACTCTCTTCTAAAGCCACGATGTGACATGCAAAAATAACAAAAATTGGATTTTATAGCAAACTGATCTTTACTACAATTTTAATGCTTCTCATATAACTGTGAGCCTATACGGAGAAAAGACAGATCATCATCCAAAGGTATAATACAGGTAGACCTAGATTTACAACAGTATTGAAAAAAGTGACTTATGACAATTTTTCATACTTATGATCCTTGCAGCATTCCCATGGTCACATGATTTACATTCAGATGCTTGGCAACTGGTTTCATATTTATGATGGTTATGGTGTCTTGGGATCATATGGTCTCCTTTTGCAACTTTCTGCTAAGCAAAGTTAATGGGGAAGCCAAATTCACTTAATAACTGTGTTACTAACTTAACAACTTCAATGATTCACTTAACAACTGTGGCAAGAAAAATTGTAAAATGGGGCAAAACTCACTTCACAAATTTCTCACTTAGCAACATAAATTCTGGACTCAAATTGTGGTTATAAGTCGAGGACTACCTGTAAAACCCTTTCTGATTATTGCCTCTATTTAAGAGTCTATGGGAGTGGGCAGCTATAATACAATTTAAATAAATAATCATAAGCTGCACAAATGATCAAAAATGAGATTTTCATAATGGAAAGAGTTTTCAAAGACACATTAAAATACTACTTACCTTTTTTCAATTTCAGAATCACTGAAAGAAGATAAGCGTGGAAGACCATTCTTCTCATGGTCATGCACAATGTTTTCAGGGATCTCATCGATGGAAGGAAAAGCTCCTGAGGAAATAAGTTAGAACTTGCTCTTACAATAGCACCTTTCATTCCATTCCCATTATGATCTACACTAGTGGCTATTATGATTATTTATTTGTTATTAAGTAAAAAGATAAAGACAAATCAGGCTTTGGTGACTTAATGAAAATGTCCTTCAAGTAGTTTGCTGCTGCCTATTTATAGAATACTTTTCTACTTTACGGTCCAGTCTCCATGTCCTGATATTGGTATTAAGTTTCTCATCTTCCTACAATTCAGTCCTGAACCCCAAATTACTCTTTAAAAAATGGAAAGTTCAATGAATTATTTTCATCACAAGTCTCCATGTAACAGCATGTTGTGACAATCTAGGGTTTCTATTCAAAGATCTTGGAGTCTGCATATTGGAGTAATTAATGTCAGCATGCCAGATTATAACATTCTATACGTGGATATTTTATCCCAAGTCAGACCAATTGCTGAATCTGGAACTGCAATGGCTGGATCCAAAAATACAGTGGGTCAGTTGTACTAGTTTTTTTTAGAGATGGGCAGAAAGTCAGATTCCTAATTCTGACGTGTGTTTAGCCAATTCCTGATTTCATACTACCTAGACTTATGTGTAACTCTCCATTACAGCCTTATGCCTGAAAAGGATATAAGATAGAATATAACCATACAGGTAGTTAGCAAGTTTGGCCTGTCCTTAAGCCAAAATCTAATATTGTAGAAATCTGTTTATACACTAGGACTTCTTTTTCCTTTACTTGTAATAACAGATCTCTTGTCATCCTATCTGCTCCAAAGGGTCTCGAATTTTTAAGAAAGACTCTGAGTGTACCTATTTAGGTCCTATTTAGGTCCACTGTTAGAAAGAATTCCATCAACAGAAGACCTTAATTACAATATTTTAATCAAATTGTTCCCAAAGTCAAATTATTCAAAGCAATATTGTCTTTCACATAATATCCAAATGGAATTGATCCGATTTTATAATGTAGTAGAGTTAAATCTGTCTCACTGCCTACTTTGTTTTATGTTAAAATCAAAGGTGCTACTAAAATAAATTAAAATTTTATTACTCTGTTTTATATGTTTCTTGGTGTTTGTTATTTTTACAAATTATTTTAATTTTTTAATTTAATTTGCCCTGAACTAAATGTTACCAATGTTTCAAAATGGATTCAATGAAAATGTGATAACAGATAAGGCATTATCTGTTCCTTCTAAGTAGGATAGGCTGTCAGACACCCATCTATATCTATATCTGTCTGAGATAGATGTGGTGCTACTGCTCATGTGATTTAAAATAAAACTGAATAAACATTCTACCAAAAAACCTGTATATATTCCCTAAATATCGTGTTAGGTTCAAGTAGTAATTGATTGCTATATTCTTAAAAAAAATGGATATACACATTTAAACTATTGACTTGTATTAATTCCAGCCATGGAAACCATCATTTTCCAGTAGAGATTAAAATATGGAAATACATTGCAAACATTTTTGCAATCATCCTTTTCTTCCTCCCTTCTCCAAGCTGCCTTTTGATCAAATTTTATGTTGTGAAGAATCCTGGGATCTTGAGAGCTTTAAATTAAACCTTTAAATTTAAGGTACCTGTGATACCTTAGTTGCCTAACTTTAAAAGGTTAGCATAATTTCTCCTTTATTAATCCCAGCACACAATCATTTCACAAAATAACCAGGACAGGAAGTCTATTATATATGTAATCTTTAGGTGGGCAGTAACATATCTAAGCAGAAGAGCTAGAACGTGGTTAGGATACTCTAAGCAGCTTTCAAGCAAAATATAAAATGCCAAAAATAAAAATGTATTCCACTAAATCATATTATTTTTATATTTTGCTCTTTGAAATTTTTGAAATCTTTTTTTGTCTAAGCAAACACACATTTGAAATTTAAATAAATACCATTTAAAACAATCAAGACTTTCTTCCACTGAGTATTGCCAACTTTTGGAGTTTGACAGAAGAGGATCTTGTGCTTGTCACATACAAAAATTCGGTCCAAAACAAACTTGGAAACAGGAGTATGGGTGAGGTTTTTCAGAGATGCATCTTGGCAGACATTCCTGAGTAGTTCAAGCCTCTCTATATGGACCAGGCCTTCATGTACAAGGTCTTCAGATAGACCTTTTCCTATTGTCTTGATATAAAAATGGATTGGGATGGCAGAAGAGAAAGACAAAAATTATTTTGCAATTCAACTCATACAAGAAATCTAGCATTTCAAACACATTCAGGTAGTCATTGACTTACATCCATTTGTTTAATGACCTTTCAAAATTACAACGGTACTGAAAAAAGTGACTTAGGACCATTTTCATATGACCATTGTAGCATCTTCATGGTCACATGATTTAAAATTCAGATGCTTGGCAACTGGCATGTATTTATGACAGTTGCAATGTCCCAGGGTCATGTGATCACATTTTGCAACCATCTGATAAGCAAAGTCAATTAGAAACTCTGATTAATTTAACAATTGTTACTGACTTAACCATAGCAGTAATTCACTTAACTGTAGCAAGAAAGGTTGCAAAATGGGGCAAAACTTAATTGTTTTGCTTAGACCTTTTGGGCTCAATTGTGGTCTTAAGTTGAGGACTATCTGTACAAGGTTTCTAAAGATATCGGTATCGCAGTATTACTAAGGTGACCAGATGTCCCGATGTTGGCGGGACAGTCACGATTTATAACAATTTGTCCTGTGTCCCGGGGCGTTTTAAAAAAGTCCCGATTTTCTGGCTTCATGTTGAAAGCCCAGTGGATTTGCTTAAGAAATCCTAACCAGGGCAAGACAAAAGACACTCTGTCTAAAACCCTCTCTCTGTCTCAGTANAAAAAATTCTTCCATTAATTCTCATCCAACCATTCATATCATTTAACAGAATATTTTTCCCTGAACTACATTCATTCAGAATATGAACAGTGTTTCTCCAAATCTATCCCTAATTTCTCCATTATCACTGTTTGCTGGATTATAACATGCAGCCAATAGATTCCTATTTTTGTATACTACCACAACTGAGATGATACATTGTTCTTTCCAACGTAAATGTTAGCCTTTTCACTTAAAATTAGTTTTATAATTTCAGTTCCTAGCATTTATTCATTAACTCCATAAGATCAGATCACCTTCATGAAGATATTTAGCTGATGCTTTAGCAATACAATTCATCACACAAGTCTGCGTTTAAGGTCCCATAAATATTGTCTTCCCTTGCCCAACATGATGAGCTTGAGACTTTCACATATTTGTGTCAGAATAATAAAGTTGTAAATTGAATTATCAGCTTTAGCGGTGTCTGTGGCACATACAGTATTTCCTGTGTTAGTCAGGGGGGGCTTAAATGGGGCTTTTGTTGTGCTTATGGGATACTGCTCAAAATGGTCAATCATTTTGAGCAGTATCCCATAAGCACAACAAAAGCCCCATTTAACCTCAACTAGCATGGTAGCACATGCTAATTAGGATCTCTAACATAACACAAATACCAGTCAAAGAACAAAATGTCTCATCCTTAGATTGTTAAAATAACTTAGTAAGCAAATCCATAAAATCTAACAACTCACAACGGGTTTATATTTTATGAGCTGACATGCAAACTGTAGTTATGATCACAATGAAGCCTGCCCATTATGGTTGCATGATGGTGATGACCATTAAGCAAGATGACCTCACTTAATGACCTCCACCCTCCTTTTTCTCTGACGCAGCCATTAAATGCATGCGTTTTTAAGCAGACTATGGAGTACCTCAGGAGTGCCTGCCCTAGGCTGCCCGAGGCTTCACCTATTCCCTGAGGCATCCATGCTCCACTTATTGCTTTTTGGGATCCCAGCAGTCCTTCTTAGCCAGTGACTTAGAGGAGATCAGGTTGGTTGGAGTTTAAACCCTCCAGTGACCAAAAAGAGATCAGGCCATCTGCAGCTTGCAATCCTCCTGCTTGTTTCCTTCCCATCCAGAGACTTACAGGTCTTGGCCTTCTCCAGGGCCCAGCAGCATCTACGGTAATTTATATTTCTGTTTTTTGCAGCTTCTTAGAGAAGCGCCCAGCCCAATACAAGATCAGCTTTTTTACATCCTTATGGCACATCAGATATTATTCTCATGAACTTATAGGGGATTCCCTTTTTGAAGAGACTCCACAAACTTCACAAACTAATGAAGTCTCCTTAAAAAAATGAGCCATCTCCAGGATTCTGAGAATAGCACTTGTTTTAGAATAGCCTAAGTTGCAAACTCCAGCTGGCCTGATCTCCTCTTAGTCATTGGGAGGGAAGGAAGCCAGTAGCTTTCAAGATACAGCTGATTCACATGAAGTATAGTTTGCCTGATCTTTGGCTGGATAAGTGGATGCAGGGACCTGGAGTGGGTGGGGGGCTGCAAGGTCCTTGAAGTCAGTCGTAAGGGCGGATGACTGAGATTGCTGCAGTGGCCATAACTTTGAAACTGGATCATAAGTAGCTTTGGGGGGGGAATGTGTCATAATTTGAAATGATTGCTACATAATAAGCCAATGGCAATCTATATAACATAATCCTATATAGCAATAATGGCTAATGTTTTTGTCCTCGCGTGCCGAAATCACATGCACAATAGCGTGCACAGACATGCCCATACCCACAATGCAATGTGCCTTAACCCCTGTGTATGCACGCATGATGCCCTGCACTCCCATCCCGCGTGCATGCGCGTGAGCCTCTGTGCCCCATTTTGGGCCTAGGAGGCCTCCCTGAAGCCCCCCCTGGGATCAAAAATGGGCTGGGTAGGCACGTCAACCCCTCTGCTCCCCCACCCCCTACCTATGCACGCGCATCTCCTGCATGTGCAGCAAAGACCCAAAAATCAACTGGCTGGTAGGAGGTGCACGACCATGCACTGTGGAGCTGAGCTGGGCGAAGGCTCACATGTCCACAGAGAGGGATTCGCATGCCACCTGTGGCACGCATACCATAGATTCGCCATCATGGCTATATAATAGTCATTCAGTTTTAATAGGACTCGAGAAAGTCTGATCTGAAATTGTAATCTTAAGTTATTCATCAAAGTTAGAAAGCAAGAAGTATCTTGTCCAATTTATAAAAGCTTTGAAAGGTAGGTGATTTTCTTTCTTGGAATAGCCAATCATGTATTTGATCATTACAAAGGCATGGAAAAGGAGAAACAGACCCAACAGGACATAATGGAAACTATCCATAGACACATGAAGCGCACTTCACATAGTTGCATTATTGTGTGCAATTAGGCATTTCCAAATCCACAAAATGCTTGAAAGGGTTGAACACAGATTACATTATTATGTTAAGTAAATCTATCAAGTCTTACTGATCCCAGTTGATCTACTCTAAGTATAATTACAACTGATTCTATCCTACAGTTCACTGAAATGTTGCTGCTCATTAGAAGAGTTTCTCTTGCTAATTTTTCTTTGGAGAATTTTTTGTGGTTTGGTTCATTAACAAGAAATTAATTGACCATTACTAGTATTAAAACTCAGGCAGCATCATTGGTTTTAAAAAGTAGAGAAAGCACTTGATAACATAGTAGCCTTAAGCAAATCAGCTCTTTTAAGTGCCTGCTCTGGAAAGACAGCCTCTTCACTATAAGGCAAACTGCTACTATGATAAGCATGGCTATAATTCTGGTTGTGGTCACAATAGGCAGAGGGCCTTAAGCAGTTACAGCAAATGACAATAGGGTGAGATAGATAATTAGGCCAGCATATGTTATGGTAATTAAATTACCTAATATGGCATAAGACAGGATGAAAGCATTAAGGAAANTACAATACTATTTTTGCGTTGTATGAAAATTTTTGTTGCTCCATATAAAATTTTTAATCAACCCCGCCCCCGGTCAAAGGTGTCCATCTTTACCAATCTGAAAATCTGGTCACCTTAAGTATTACTGTCTTCTGAATTAACTATTTCTGTCAAGCTGATGCAAAGTAATTTGATTTCAGCAGTAAGGAAACAAAATTTTAGAAATTGAATTACAACTAAATGGGGAACACAAACCAAACAATATTCTAAATGTGAACTAAAATGAATGAATATTTTTTTCTGACCATAGAAATAAAAGGGAAGATGATTTTCACTTTACATCAGCTTCCGTTGCAAACTTTGGATGATTCTGTATAAACTATACTGATTAAAAATAAAAATTATGCAGAAATGTTGCACAGTGGTTGTGTTAATTTTTTTAATTTAAATGAAAAACTGAAGTACAATTTAGAAACGTATAGAGCTTCTAGATGTGTTCTAAAAGCTGTTACAGAAAGTGGTTCTCCAGATTATTGTTATTATAATCTGTTATTATGTTCAACAGATTCCTAGATAAGCATGTTTAGGAATGTATCCCCAATTATATACACAAATATAAAATACTGTGTTTTAAAAAATGAATATAACCCAATAATGTAACAAAATTTTAATTCATAAAACAATACCAAAGTAGTTTTCAAAACTAAAACTTCTCAATTCCTGGACAATAAAGCAAGGGAAAATTGCTTTTGAACAGAAGGCAATAGAGATGGCTACAGTGATGCTTTGCTCATAAATCTCTATACTATTTGGCTGACTGATTCTAAGAACCAGTTACAATCTAACATAATGAAATATGACATAGAGAACTCTGCAACCATACCATTTATTTAGCCTTTCAACCTGTCCCTTTTATATACCTGGAATTGTCCCGGAAGTCTCTTCTCTTTTGTTACGTGATCTTTTCCTACTTCAGTTATAGTTGTTGGTATTACTGGCTTGGCACCATGAACTAGATGAAGAAAACAGAGCAGCTAAAGAAAAGCAAAGTTTTTTTCCCCTTCATACTGCATAAATGATTTGATTGATCACAACTTATACTCACAAGATTATAATTAAATTAGCTGGATACCCATGCTCCACTATGAAACTATGAGATTGGGTTTGATAAATGGACACTTACAGCTTGAAAATTAATGAGTAGATGATCGGCCTCTCCTCTCCCCTTCTCTCCCTCAGGTTTGCCCCACAGAAGCCTCTCTTCTTCTCTCCCTCAGGCTTGCCCCACAGAAGCCTTTCCTCTCCTATCCCCCTTCTCTCCCTCAGGCTGGCCCCACTGATCCTCTCCTATCTTATTCCCTTCTCTCCCTCAGGCTTGTCCCATAGAGGCCTCTCCTATCTTATCCCTTTCTCTCCCTCAAGCTGACCTCATTATCTAAACTCCAAGCCCGCAAGCCAGATGAGTCATGCACTGGCCACCGCATGCCCAAGTGGCAGTTGGAACAGAATTCTTTTCAGAAGGGGAGGGGGAGAAGAACGTCTAACTCATTAACATCAGTGTGTGAGATCTCTCTCTCTTTCTCTTACACACACACACACACACACACACACACACACACACACACACACACACAATGTATAAGAAATATTAATGATCTGATGGTCATTTTGAAAAACCCTTTCTTAGCAAGTACCTAGAAGCCAAGAGCATATGTGCCAAATTTCAAGTTTGTAGGCTTTACAGTTCTGAGATTTCGTGATGAGTGAGTGGATTTGGTGTGTGTGTGTGTGTGTGTATACACTTCAAATCAGGCTGTAATTCAAAGTTTTAAATAGAATGCAAATTATTTAAAAAACAAATTTCATGATTTGGAAACCCTTAGTAGAATAACCTCTGTAAACCAGATTCTCCAAACTTGTCACCTACATGCATTGAGACAATACAGTACTCCCCATCTTCTGAGACTGTTATGTTTGTGCTGTTTCTTAAACCAAGTCTGAAAATACGTCATTTTTACCACAAGGACTGAATTTTAGACTAGAAGCATAAAAAAGGGAAGTCTCACAAAATTATGTAAGTATTGCAAAGTTAATTGGAAGATGTTAACTTGGTATTGTGTTTCTAATGAATTAAGACCATTCTCCTAGTCTGTAAAAGGAACAGGGATAGAAGTATCTAATAGAACTAAGCAAAAACCTTCCCTACAGGACAGGACATAAGTGATTTTAATGTCTATGCACAAGTATTATAGGTTAAATTGAAAAGGAAAAATACACAAAATGCTCAGATATGTTAAAATCAGTATCTGTACCTTTCCATATAAAATTAAAAAGCTATTAAATCTTCGTTTCACTTTTATTTTCCTAGATAGTGTTCAATGTTGAAAGAAATAAGGAATAATTGTAATATTCAACATTTAGACATTTGCCAAAAACAAAGACAGAAAAAGCCAAGAAAAAGTGGGAATCACTTGCATTAAATATTTCACTGTTACAACTCACAGGCAAGCTGCATAATCATTTATTTAGAAGTCAACATAATGAAAATATGAATGGATAAGAAAAAACAAAACTAGAAGATCCGTTTAATTTTTCTCAAACTGTTTTGGACACAAAAATTGTTCAGCAATTACTTGCATTAATAAGAATAAAGTTGGATCAACTTACCATCAGGATCTTTGAAGGTCAATGTGATGAACTTGCTAGCAACCATGAACATGAATATTACCCAAAAGCATGCAGCTAACAGCAGCCACCGGTGGTGCATGATGTCAGATATGATCCATGTAACGTCTGTTAGTTTCTGCTTTTTAAAAACCAGAAAAATAAAATAAAATGTGTACCCTTTTGTTTATTTTATGAGCAGTCTCTACAAATAACCAAAGATATCTGAAATACACTATATACACTATTAAGGGGTCTCACAGCACAGCCTTTAAACTACCTATGGTGTTTGTCTTCCTGTTGTATTATTATTTTTGCTGAAAAGAGAAATCTATTTAGTTGCCCTAAATTTCAGTTTGTTCTCATCTATATGGAGAATTAAAGAAATGCTCCTTATATAACAAAGCAAAGTTTGAATGCAAAAAAAAGCAGCTTAGAGATTTTAATGTATTTTTGCATGGATAGAAGAAAAATGAGGTTTCCCTTCATTGTTATTAAGTTTACTGCGTAACCATTCAGATTTAGCAATATTATTCGCCATCCTAAACATATTTGAGTAGGTTAATTTTAAAAATGAGAATTTAGTTTATTATAACTATGTTGGAGAAAAAGACTTTAGCAATAATATCAAAGGTTAGAGAATAAAGCTATTGAGCTCAGTAAGCAAGCGAAGTTGATGAGGTATCTTGACATAAAAAAATAATTCCCTAAACTTATTTTTCTAATTTTCCCAAAATTAAAAGGTAATTTTGCAATTAACTTCAAAACTTTCCCCCCATTATCAGGTAATTTTGTAAATACATACACATGTGCTGTGTTTCTAGGAAAGAATCAATCTTCCTTTGAATAATCAGTTTTTAATGAGCCCTATCAACACTGCTGTTTTCACCATGCTCACTCACAACAGATTTGTAAAAGACAACAGCACATAATTGCCAGAATTAAGAAGCCCAATTACCATGCAATCATAAATTACTCAGAATAAGTTCAATGGGATTCTGCTCAATGAAGTGTATATACAACAGCATACTCCATCTTTGGTCACAATGCAGGTGAAGTGTCTCATATGGAAGTTCAAAAAAGTGGGGCCTATCTCATTGCAGGAGTTCAGAGGTTCGAAAGGGCAGGTGCCATAGCAGAGACCCATCTCCTGGGTCCTGCCAGCCAGAATTCCTTGTCTGACAGGGCCTGTAGCATGTCTCCTCTGCTGACACAGGTGTGGTGGGGTGCTTATATTACATTGACCTCAGCATAAGACAAAATTGAGTACTAGTGTGTGTCAGTCTCTGCTTTGCTGCTGCTTCGGCTGTCATTGAAACGGGGGAGGGGGGCATGGTATCTGGGAGGGGAATCATTATGTGCTGGAGGAAGTTTCTAGTCGCTGATCTGACCACCTTACTGCGCATGTGGAAGAGGGGAGTTTCCCGCCAAGGCCAACTGTCCG